TCAATGATACTGTTTTATACAGAAACCCATCTTTGAAAAGCATGCCAGCAATATTCTCAAAGTAATCACCGGTCATGGAATCACGCCGACGCTCAACACGTATATGCATCTCCCTAAAGGCATGTAACAAATTTGTATATCCAGAGCTTTTACAAAACCTTCTCCATAACAGGCTTTATAGAATGGAAGTACAATGAACAGCTTATAAAACAAGTACCTCGCTTCATCAATATTCATGAACCGTGGAGGTGGAACAAAGGCTTTTTTCTTTGCGACTTCTCTTCCGTCCTGCAATTAATCAGGTAGAGCGTGCCCAAATAATTGTATGGCTTAAATGACTAGAACACATTTTAAGAAACTTAGAATGCGAGGACAGTCATAGTGTTTTCCTATAACAGGCTAAGTTGAACTATAACTCTATTAGACATGTTTTCCAAACACAAATAATTCCATCTTTTCTCTTAAGCATGCACAGAATCCATACCAGCTTAGAGGCTAGAGCCTGCAGATCAATTCTTGGGATTAACTTGACTGTAACCCTCTGGCGCACATTATCAACATCAACCACCTGCAAAGGTCTTACATTTTAGCAGTCTATAGGTAATTTTACTAATGGCAACACAAGAAAACGGATCGTACCTTAGCAAGATCACCTTTATACGTTCCGATTTTCATTCTAACCCAGGTATCCCGAGATAGATCAATTGCTTTGCTTTCAACAGCAAGGACATCTGTCATTTCTCTTATCGGGACAAGTAAGATCTTCTGATTAGCATATATATTCCGCATGCCCTTGATCGCCTAACACAAGTAAAAGAAACAATGCAAATAATGTCTTCACACCCAGTCACAAGACTATTGAACACTATCACTGACTCAGAAGATCAAAATTATATAATGATGCGACCATCATATACCTCCTTCACGTGAGCTTCCTTGTCAGCTTCAACATATATATAGTTTTTTAGATGGTCAAGGGCAACAACAGATCTGATCTGCAAATCTGATCCTCGGTCAATGAATTTTTGCATAAGACAAACGGCGACCTCTCTTTCGCGGCCAATCTGACATTGCAATGTGAAAACCAGGGAGGATCAATTCCAAGTATCACAGAATAGAACACTGAAAATTACTAAAAAGAAAAAAAAAAACAGGAGACTTCTAACTTCCAAGCTAAATTATGCAAAAACCCGTACCGCACATTTCACCATCCACAATTTCGGATCACGGACTGATGGCAGAAGAGCTTGTTGCTCCACATCTGTAGCTTCTTCATCATATTCTTCATGATGCCTAGAGAACCTCTCTTGAATTCTTCTCTCGAGATCTTCCACATCCTCATCGTTCTCCTCGCCAGAAAGAAACCTCCGTTCATGATACCTCCTGCGATCAACTCTCTCATCGGGAAGGTCAGTTCCATTATCAACTATGAAATCTGCATCAACAAAAAAAAAAATTCTCTTGAGTACCAAAAGGGATGTTTAAGTAGCTTAAGAATACAAACGAGTAACCATTTTAAGACCAATTGTGAACGGCCATTATAATCAATAACAAAAAGAAAAAAAAAATCATTGCTTATCAATGGTGAACGAGAAACAATCTCAATCACAAAAACAACTAGTAATGACCAGACTACTGATTTGCATAACAAAAATCTGAAACTATGTTAAAAATTAAACCAATTTAAAATCAATCGATCCAAACATTCGACTGAGACAGAATCCAATTCTCTGAAATTTTACCGTCTTCTCCCTCCTCCTCTTCCTCTTCATCCTCGTCATCTACCCGAGCTTGGTCGTCTAAGAAAATAGAAGCTGAAGACTTCTTTCTCTTAGCCGCCCCTCCTTTGCCTCCACGGCTGGCATAATCTTCATCATCTTCTTCGTCTTCCTCAGAATCCTCCTCCGCATAATCATCAATAAAATTCGATCTTCCTCTCTTTCGACTCGAGCTACCGCCGCCGCCTCTCCCTTCCACCTCCTCCTCCTCTTCCTCTAACTCCGATCCAGCGTATTCTTCGTCTACATCATCGTCTTCGTCTCTGTGGCGCGGCATGGTTTGGTACAGAAATTAGGGTTTCTGATCTGAAATCTCCAATCCTAGAAACGATTCTCTCTCTCTCTCTCTGGCTACTACGGCTTTTACCTTGTTCCTTCTTCGTTTGATAGAGAGAACCCTAGAAATGTCTCAGGTAGTGGAAAGGAGATATAATTCGAAGATGCAGTTGTTTTTGAAGACAGAAATAGACCAATCACGGTTTGCAATCACGGTTTAATTACGTACCAACTAGTTTTACAAAATAATGATCCTGTGTCATCTGGATCTGAATTATGAATGTATGTATATGGTCGTAACTCAGAAAATGATAACGCTAACTTTGCTCTTTTAGAACTATGTAATTTGAGAAAAATCCTTAAAATACATAAATTATATAAAACTATATTCTACGTTGCACCGGAATTCTTTATTTTTTTTTATCAAATTACATAATATAATTTATTTTTTGAGAGGGGTTTAGGTTTAACCATATTTCAAAGTCAAACACCAAACTAAGCTCTTTTTTTTCTATCTCCAATTTTTGCCATTTTCTCACAATTTTATCTTTCCCACTTAAACTATTAACGAAAATGTCATTATACATCTATTATTTCGATTTTTCTTTAATTTCGCTAAAGTCTCTTTAGACCTTCTAAAAATCTTTTTATTACGAGAATGCCATCTTCTTCAATTTCTTCAACCACCACGAACAACCATGAAAATGGAATAAATGCTTCTCAACCAATTTTAAAACTGTAATAAGTAAATATTTGAGCTCATTCACTCATAACCTTCCTCATTCTTTCATAATTTCTTCTCCAAAAAATCTGGGCTAAGTTACAATGCCAAAAGTCATGCATTTTCGATGATTTCTGGTTACTTGACATCTGGGTTGCTTATTTTTGGTGAAATCCTGAGTTCTAGGTGCTTTAAAGAACTGTAGCCGAGCTCAATTTTGTTAAAGGTAATCGTCGCACTTCAATTTTTCCATATTTCAGTTTTCATATCGCGATAGTAGACTTCTCGTGAAGTATACTGAAGTCTACTAGTCAACATAAGGTTATTTTTGCAATTGACTTTTTAAAAGTAGACTTCATTAAACCACACGAGAAGTCTACTCAATATCCTTTGAAAACAAAAAAAGCATAGTAGACTTCATTTGAAGGCTTAAGAAGTCTACGAAAGAAAAGAGGTTATTTTTGTAGTTGACCGTATTTTGACTTTTTAATGTAGACTTCTTTCTAAAGTCTACTGTTTACGTCTGCACAAGAAGTCTATTTTTAAGTTACTTTTGTAGTTTGACCAAAAACGTATAGGTCATTTTAGTGTTTAACTAAAGTTTTTTAAAAAATAAAAAATTCAGAAAACTCCGGAAAGTTGCAGTAGACTTCAGAAAGAAGTCTAAAAACTGTAGACTTCTTTGGGAAGTCAACTTATATTTTTCGGTCAAACTTAGAAGGAATCTTTTTTTTAATAGGCTTCACAGTGAAGTCTATTCAAAAAATTCAATTGCAAAAATAACCTATTTTTTTCTGTAGACTTCTATTGAAAAAGTAGACTTCAAAAGTAGACTGTCAGAGAAGTCTACTCTTACATGAAGTCTACAAGAGAAGTCTACTTTGTTAGTCAATAGCTTGGTCAAATGCTAAAGTAACCTTTTTGGCCGGAAGTCTACTTCTGAAGTCTACTGAAGGAAAAGTCAACGGATTCGTCAATTGCAAAAATAACCTGTTTTTTAGTAGACTTCTTTAGTAGACTTCACTATGAAAAAGTAGACTTCTCCTCCAGTCTACGTATGAAGTCTGCTTTAGAAGTCTACTTATTGCAGTTTTTTTTAAAAACGCGTTTTAGGCAAATTTATAAAGTATTTTTTAATTTTTTGGATTAGAATTGCTTCTTAGTAAGTGATTGAACTACCCAGTGAATTTCATTTCATTTCATTCGATATTTATTGCGGAATCAGAATTTTTGATTTTTAAGCTACTTAGCTTATCAAAGAAGACTTCTCCTCCAGTCTACGCTTGAAGTCTGTATTAGAAGTCTACTTATTGTATTTATTTCAAAAACGCTTTTTTTGCACATTTATAAAGTTTTTTTTCATTTTTTTTGTTTTGAAATGTTTGTTAGCAAGTGATTGAACTACTAAATGAATTTCATTTCATTTAAGTCCATATTTATAGTGGAATCAGATTTTTTGATTTTTAAGTTAGTTAGCTTATCAAAGTAGATTTCTCCAGTAGTCTACGAATGAAGTCTAATTGGGAAGTCTACTTTTTGTATTTATTTTAATATATTTTTCAAAAATATTTATAATGTTTTTTTTTTAAGTTTTAGGTTTGGACATGCATGTTAGCAAGTGGTTGAACTACTTAATGATTTTCATTTGATTTAAGTCGATATTTGTTGTGGAATCAATTTTTTTGATTTATAAGCTAGTTAGCTTATAAAAGTAGACTTCTCTAGCAATCTACGGATGAAGTCTACACACAAAATCTTCTCTATAAAAAATTGTTTTTTAATGTGTTTGTAATAATGTGGTTTGTAATTTGTTTGCTAATATGATTTATTTGTATATTTTACTACAGAGAACGGTTCAAATACCGGTTATTTATGGAGAAAAGAAGATGAAAGAGAAATAATAGCATTTTTGTGGTAGATAATGGCAAATGAAGAAAAATGTGCTTTTTAAATGATGGTTGTATCTTTGGGGGACTTACTAAATTTGTTGCAAATAAAAAGTCTCACGAAGAAGTCATAATATGATTTCAAACTGAATTTGTTGCATTTTACAATCCATAACATATCAGAAACATCTGCTCTGAGCTCTTTCAATCATGCATCATTAATATCTCTTTTTTTAGTTTGTTTCTTTGTTTCTTTTGATTGTGATGATCATAATGACTTCTCGTTTTTGTTCTTCTCATATAGTCAACGAATGATCCGCTTTAGTTTCAAAATTCTGATAAAGAACTAAGTAATTTCTTAATTTCAATTTCCAAATAGCCATACAAAAGCTTTACAGAAGTCATTTTTTTCTGTTTTAAGATTTTTACATTCTTTGTGTTACACATGTTTATTACTCTTTGTGTCATCAACTCTTCTTCCTCCTCTGTTTCTCACATGAAATGTGCGTGTGATCCCAATACCATACTGCAAAGTTACAAAAACACAACCTTTATACAATTTAAAAACTCAAAATGGGGATTACTAAATTAAAATCAAGAATCCAAAACCTGCAACAATCACAATTTTTATACACTTTGTTCTGAAACACCGTGAGAGACTCATCTTCCTTGATTTACTCTAAAACGTTGAGTACAAAACCTGCAACAATCACATTCATTTGAATCAAACCAGAATTAACTGGAAAATATCATTTTAGATGATTCAAACAATAGTATTCCAAACAAAGAGCAAAAGGAAGATGTAACAGTGAAATGCAATGACCAAAGTAAGGAGCTGAAAACAGAAAGGGGATCTAAAGATCCAAAGAGGAATATGAACAGGTGAAGTTATCATAGTTATAGACTCAAATGATAAACCCTACAGAGGTAAAAATAGGTACTTTAAGCGGTATACAAACAGCCTAACAGGCAAAGTACAACATAGAATCAGATTTCTCAAAACTTCAAAATATAAAGTTTCACAACATCAGCGATTAAAATATTATTTCACAATCAACCAAGCTCTTAGATTCACAATAACACATTTGAGAACCAAACCAATTTCTCAAAACTTAAAATACAAAGTTTAATCAAAAACTTTAAAACCTAAAACAAACCCAACGAGGACTTCACCAACCTTCACAAGAATGAGATCAGAAACTGGCATTGCTAACTCCAGCTTAAGAAACAGAACCACAAATCTAGATCACTCACGGGGTCAATGAATGAACAAAAACAAAGCAATAAGTAAAAACAGAACCACAAATCTAGACCAGAAACATGAAACAAGCAATAAAAAAACAAGCAGAGAGAATAAAGCTAAGGAATTTGGAATGAATCCAAAAAAAAGAGGAACAGAAGGAGAAATGACAGCGACCATAGAACGAAGCGGCGAAGATGAACGGCAGGACGAGAGCAGTGAGCATGGAATTACGGAACCTGCGTTGAGCATCAGAGCAGAGCATTGACAGCGACCGGATCTGAAAAACAAAGAGAGTTAGAAGTAAAACTGAAGAAGATGAGGAGAAGAAGAGAACAGACACGCGGAGAGAGAGAGAGAGAGAGAGAGAGAGAGAGAGAGAGAGAGAGAGAGAGAGAGAGAGAGAGAGAGAGAGAGAGAGAGAGAGAGAGAGAGAGAGAGAGAGAGAGAGAGAGAGAGAGAGAGAGAGAGAGAGAGAGAGAGAGAGAGAGAGAGAGAGAGAGAGAGAGAGAGAGAGAGAGAGAGAGAGAGAGAGAGAGAGAGAGAGAGAGAGAGCGACCAGGTAATGTGTGGAGAAGCGAATCAGAGCGGCGAGAGCAAATCAAAGTTAGTTTCCGGCGACTCTTGGATCAAAATCAACGCCACGAGATCGTGGTTCTGAGAGGTGGTAAGTGTTTCGGTGAAACATAGCTTGGCTGTCTTCGTTGATGGAGGTTCGGAGAGGAGAGAAATGAGATGAAGAAAAGAAGAAACGGCTAGGGTTTCAACAATGTTATTTTTTCTACCAAAATAGCTTTTATACTAGAGAGAAATTTTTTGGTAGGTTAAACACTTTGGTTCAGTTTTTAGTATTTTTTGGTTAGGGTAAATAACTTTTGGTTTTCTTATGATTAAATCTCGGTTTTAATAATTTTATCTCTTTCAATTTTGGTTTAATTTTCGATAAAATTATTTTATTTGGTTTAGCAGACTTCAATATGAAGTCTACTAAGGTTAAACTCTAAATCAGATATTTTGTTCTTCTTAATTTGAAACCATAAATTTAAACTTATAAATATGAAACAATAATTTATAAATCTAAAGATTACTAATATCAAATTTATGATTACAAATTTGAAACCAAAATTATTTTTTATTAATTTTAAAATTAAATTTTATGATTTAATTACATAGTAGACTTCATAAGCTTTGATAGAAGTCTACTAGTAGACTTCAAATAGTCTTTAGTAGACTTCGTCAGGGTTTAAATCGTAATTAAGACTTCTGTTTTTTGTTTGGTCATACAAGATTATACTGTCTTTTCACTACCCCTTTAGGTTATTTTTGCCAAACATTATATTAGAGGTCTATTTTTGTATTCAGAATCAATTTTTAGGTTATTTTTAGCAAAAATCCCTTATTTTTTTGAGTTTCTAAAAAATTATTTTTATAGTATATTATACTAATAAGTGAAAAATATTTATTTTTTATATTTAGATATTATTTTTTGTAAATTTATTTTTTTATAATATTAAAAATGATCGCAATTATAAAAAATATAATTTTAATTCATCTATTCATATTAATTCAAAAAACTATAATTTTAAAAATATAATTATAATTCACCCTTTTATATTACCATATAATGTAAATCTTTATTAAAAGTTTGAGATGTATTCGTGTATTTGATTTGGCATAGAATATCTTATATAATTTACTAAAATTTAATTCATATTGACAGCATGTGATAATGTTTAATTTTTTTATGTTTTATATTATGTATGAAAAAGATATTTTTGATATACATGTATGATTCAAAATTAATGATTTTAACCACTAAAATGTTTTTAACCCATTTTTATATATATTTTCAGTTCTATATTTTATTATAAACAAATTTAATATTGAAATTATACATTTGACTCTTACTCATTATTATTTTTTTATTAATTTACAAATAAAGCATAATAATAAATATTTATACAATCAACATTTATATCATATACATCATCATAATATTTTATATTTCAAATATGATCATTATTTTTCATACGTGAATTATTTTCTTAAAAAGAATTATTGGTCTTTTTAATACCATTTTTAATGGTATAGATAATATTTAATTAGAATATTTAAATTAAGTCTAAATTAATCTTTAATTTATTATTTTTTTAAAGATAATAACTGATTTTTTTGTAGATAATCTAATCTATATTTAAGAAAATCCAAAATAATCTTAATTAATATTGGAATTTTGATATTAAATTTATATATATAATAGAAAATTAATAATATTTGACTAAATTAACTTGTTTAGTACCATGTATATTATCTTTCCACAAATAGAATAGACTTAAATTAAAAAAATCTTTGGACACAAAACGTGTTTCTGTTTTAATAGACTAGATTTCGAATAAAAATACACATATTACTTTGATTTTTCAAAAAAACATACTAACTATTAACCTTTTATATAATACACAAACTATTAATTATGTTCTCTTTATGAGAATAATGTCGTGATGATCAAGTCCCAAGAATATGATTTTGGTCCAATTTTTGTTTTCTTTTTAAACCGATTACTCAAAACTCATCAGAAAAACTCTCAAGCCCAACTTTCTTATATAACTCTCTAAACCCTACATCTAGAATTCTCTCCTCTTCACTCTATAAATAAAGGAGCCACCAGTTAGAAGAGATCAGAGAATTATCTTATGGGGAAGTAGGCATCTAGGAGGTAGATCCGATCTGTCCTAGCTTAAAAGAGAAATGGATAGGTAAATTAGATCAGATCGGCCTGAAAATTAGCATGGCATATTCACGACTCTCAGATCTAGCTATAGCCGCTAGCAGATCTTCATTTGGAATTGTAGTTTGAAAGTTATGTGCGTGTTCCCGAAGCAAATCGGCAGAGATCAGAAAGTCAATTTCGGAAGCGTTTTGCCGGCAATCTAGAAATTTCCAGAAAGCGACCTACATACCGCTGTTAATCCCTTGAAACCAGATTTCCAGATCCACCTATAGGTTTCCCTTCCGACGTATGGCCATTGAGTTGCAGCTATTTCTTTCTGGTGAATTTTCCATCCTTCCAAAATCCTAATACTATTTTGGGGTAGTTTCGCTTTCCGAGAACTTTCATTTCTAGAAAGTTTATTTATAGCATATCCATTTTATGGTAAGTCTGTTAATGGAAACTTCCTTTTCCAATAGCAGTTTCCCAAAAAGGCGTTTCTCCAATCGTAATCGTATTGGCCGTTATTTCTCTAAGCGCTATTCATGATTCTTTTAGATTAAGGTAAGGATTAGTTTATCATTTGATTTAAGAGAAAACCACATTTTAAACCTCGAGAAGCCAAATAGTACTTCTTCTACTACTATTTTTTCATATTATTTTCACCTAGTTTTTGTGTCTCATAAAAATGCGGCGCTCTAGGGTTTTCAAAGGCGATTTCGTCTCTTTCCTCACGGAAACCGCTGGACTTCATCGCTCTCGCCGATCTCCGTCTCCGTCTTGCTAATCTGCATGCCCCTCACACCCTCTACGCTCGAGTAGCGTTTTTGTACTGTAGTTTTCAGTTTGTGTTTCCTTTCTTTTTCAGGTTAACCCACTTTTCTCGCTCCTCTTGGCGTTCTGTGTCCGATAAGCTTCGATGAATCATCGTTACTCGAGAGAGGAGAAAGGCAAAGATCTGGCCTCCTCTTCTCACCGCTGGATCAGAGACCCTCAAATACGGCTTCCGGATGAATCGAACCCCGACCTCGTCGAAGCTCATCGACTAACCCTAATCGGTCGGGTTCTCAATCCAAGCGTTCAGAAACCTAAGGCACTGATTGGATTTATGCCACAAGTGTGGCATATGGAAGAAAAGATCGTCGGTAAAGACCTAGGATCTGAGAAGTTCCACTTCAAATTCAAGATGGAAGAAGATATACAATCAGTCCTTAACGAAGCCCCTTTTCACTTCAAACGATGGATGTTTGTCCTTCACTGCTGGGAGCCAGTAATCTCTGATGCCTATCCATCGATCATTCCCTTTTGGATTAAGGTTCATGGAATCCCGGCTCACTGCTTCACCGAGAACAATCTAGGCAATGTGCTGGGCAAGTATATGGCTCATGACGTCGTTGAAATGATGGTCTGTGTTGAGATCAATGCTCTGAAACCTCTGATCAAGAGGAAGGCGATACAATTCCCCTCAGGGGTGGAGGTCTCTGTAGAGTTTGAATATGTCAGACTGGAGAAACACTGCTTACACTGTATGTCTTTAAGCCACGAAAAGGAGAACTGCCCACACCAGTCAAAACCTAGAGAATCTGATCTACAGAATTCCCACATCAACAGCCAACAGACCCTTCAGAGACTCGAAGAAGACAGGAAAAAGAAAGATGATCGCAGAGGTCGCACTCAGACTAACCGTCAGGACCCCTCTTAGCATTCTCAGCCTCGCCAAGACCCCTCCTTCCACCCACAGTCTCGATAAGTGAACCCTCTCTGCAACATACCCGAGCTGGAACCAACAATGCTAGAGACAGGGACCTTCATCGACGTGACAGTGAGGCTCTGAGAGGTGACAAACTCCCTCCCCGAAGGCTTTCGCGGTCCCCCCGAGAAGATACGACGACAACAGGGTCACATTTCCGCCCACTCACTCCATAAGGGATGATCGTGGTCTTTCCAAGCCTCATCAGAAATCCCGAGCTCGGTACGATGCCTCGTACTACTCAGACTTTCCTGCTCCTCACCGTAACCCTCACTCTGATGGCAACTACCGCAGAGACCATCGATCGAAGAATTGGGGTCTCCATCCCTCTTCCCGAGATGCTTCTGATCTCCGCTCTCGTGGTGCACCAATTAGGGAGGCTCCGAACATACCTCAATCTCCTCCTCTTCGAAGAGGCTCTTCACAGCTTTCTCCCTGGGGTGAGTCTGGTCACCGATCGCATGCTGCTCAGAACAGAGATGCTCTGAACAGAGCTTAAGCTCCTCCGCGTGGAAGTGGCTCTCTGCAACTTTCTCCCCGAGAGGTGTCAGATCACCGTTATCGTTCTCGAGATGCTTTGGGCAGGAGTGTGCTGAACAGTGCTGCGTCTCCTCTACGTGAACCTCCGACCTCGCGACGAAGACTTCTGGCTGAAGATTCGCACCATACTCCCTCTGTCACTCCTCGCGACACCTCTGCTCCTAATCGCCGCGATAACACTGCATCTTTGAACAGTGGTCATCGCCGGTCAGCCCTGGAAGGATTAGAAGACCCTTGCTCCCTCCAAAATGACCCGCTTCCCTTTGCAAATGCGGGTGTTTCTTTAGATTCTCACAGGGATTGGGTCGAGAATGATGATCTCCTGGGTTCTCCGGAGGAGGTAGAAGAATTCAATATCTAGCTCGAGTCATTTTCTCAACACAGAAGCAAGTTCTAAAGGCACCACCACTCCTCTTCCGAGAACTCCTCTAAGGCTACAATCCCAGATCTTCCACCTCTGCATGGTGAGAAGATTCCGGCTACCTTTAGACTGGGTCCTCGCTCTGTTCCGGCAAAGCAACGTCTGGAATTCCCCAGAAAAGCTCCCCCGAAGCGGAAGATTACAAAAACAGCGTCCAGAACATCAGAAAAACAGTCTACACGTTCTGCCTCAAAGAAACTAGCATCAAGCAGCCCAATCCAGAGCGCAAAGGCGAAACACAGAACTTCGACGAAGAAGTACTCACCACGAAGGAGGCTCGAGGCTGATCCAGCAAAACATCCTGCTGCAAAGACTTCGAAGACCATGACAGCCTCTGCTGTAGTGTCTAATGTAGATCTTTCTAGTAGTGATCTTGTTACTTCTATCTCTAAGGTCTTAGTGCCTTCTACTTGTAAGGGCTTAATGGTTCCCCAAAACCATCGTCGACTCAATGATCACAACCTGTTCGAACTGTCAAGAGATTGGAAACTACTTGACAGTTCGACGCCTAAGGGAATTGAGATTGAGTCTCTTTCTGGATATTATGTTTCTCGCTGAAACAAAAAACCAAGATGATGTTGTTTTCAGCGTATTTCAGTGGATGGATTATGATAACAGGTTTACGGTTCCTCCGATTGGACTTAGTGGTGGTCTAGCTTTAATTTGGAAGAAAGATACACATCTGGAGATTCTATCTTCTTCCCCAAACTTCATTGACACCAAAATTAAGTACAAGGCGAAATCATTCTTTTTTACTTTCGTTTATGGTCATCCAGCGAGCCAATGACGACAGGAAGTTAGGAACCAAATCTCGGAATTAGGTGCAAATAGGGAGTCTCTTTGGATCCTCTCAGGCGACTTCAACGAGGTCCTCGATAATTCAGAAAAGCGAGGAGGCCCAAGGAGGCACGAGGGCTCATTTATCAACTTTCGGAGCTTCATATCCCAAAATGGGCTATGGGATGTTAACTTCTCTGGCAATCCGCTATCCTGGCGAGGCATGCACTATGACCACTTCGTTCGAGCGAGATTGGATCGGTCCATTTCGAACGATGCTTGTGTGGAAGCCTTTCCCTCTGGTAGATCGGAATACCTCCGCTACGAAGGATCAGACCACCGACTGCTGGTCACTGATGGTCGTGTCAACTGCGTGAGGGAACAAGTTTTACCCTTAACAAAACAAATGAAAGCCGCAAGTGCACAGCTGATCAGTTGCAGTATTTAGGGATCGAATCCACAGAGATTTGTGTGCCTGGTATTCTTCTATGGTTTTTTTAACTTTATGTCTAGACTAAATTGGTTTTAAAGGTTGGTTGTTTTTCTTGCGAATTAAACTAAAACAAAAGAAAGCAAATAAATCTATCCTAAAAAGCAGGTAAGAAAATCGAATGAAATGCAATTCGAATAAGCAAATATCGAATGAAAGACTAATAAGGCAAGTAAAATATCGCATGAAAGGTAAATAAAGCAAGTAAATAATGAACTAAGGAAATTGAAATGCAGGTCTAAGAAAGCAAGTAAAAATCGATGGAATTGTAAACTATGGCTAAAAACGCTGAGCTTTTAGGGACTCTAAGGGATCATAATCGGTTTTGTCACTAGGGTAAATAGATTGGGATTGACAGATAACGATATATGGGTTCTAGAGCTAGAGTACGGCGGTATGACTACGTCACTGTGGTGATCATAACCAACTGTTTCTCGCAACCCTGACCAGTAGGTTTCCACTCTGGCCCTGGAAAGGAGAGAACGCAAGAGCTGCACAAGACTCGTCAATACTCATGATCTCGCCGCAGGTAGGTTTCCACTCCTACGGAAAAATCGCCTGTTTCATTCTAGGGCTGATACTTAATGAAAACTTTCGCAACACTAACTATCTAGATTAGATACTAGGTGATCAATCAAGCACACATGCAATAAGAACAAGATTAAACAGAGAACAGGTCGAAATCCGATATCTATAAACCTAGATGTCTTAATCGATTATGAGAGCCCTATCGGGAACCCTAAGCCCAACTCGGGATCTACTCAGACATGGCTGAGTTCGACATCATCATTGGTTTTAATAAAAGTAATGAAAAACAGTAAAGAAAACAGATAAAGAAAGCTTCTCTATTGAAGAACTCGGACTTGAACAATCTTCTACAAAAATCTCATAAAAACGGCTAAAGGAAAAGGGTTTCTGTAAAGTATGAAGGGTTGTGTCTAAAATCGACCTAAATGACATGTATTTATAGTCTCCAATACTCCATGGTCTCTAGGGTTCCGGAATTGAGGCTGAGAATGACTTTGGGCTTTAGATAAGTGGGCTTTAACTCGGAGATTGATTGCCGCGGTCAGGAGTGTTGTGACCGCGGCAATTGGCTTGTTGGCCGCGGTCGGGAAGCTTCTGACAGCGGCAAATAGCTTGTTGGCCGCGGTCGCGTGAGTTGCTGACCGACTTCGAGTGGCTCCGGGGCTAATGGAATATCTTGAGATCCAACCGTTGGAATGTCTCCAAACTAAGTGGATTTGAAAGCTGGTTGATTCTTCTATAAGCTGTCCAATTTTGAGGGTGATCAGACGGTGAGAAGGTCTTCGTCTCTCCATGAGAGTTCTGACGGTCTGCATTTATCCAAAAGAGTCTTTTTGTTCCATTTTGTGCTTCTTTATCCCAAATTACCTGAAAAGTCTTTTAAAATCCGGAAACATAGAAATCCTTTGAAAACCTTTGAAAATGGAGTAAAAACACCTGTAAAAGATATTAAATTGATCTATAAAAATGGTCAAAATCCGGTGTTATCAACTCCCCCTGACTTAGTCTTTTGTTTGTCCTCAAACAAAACAAGGCTAAATCTTGGCGAGAGGTTTGAAAACGCAGGAACTAAACAAAATCTCAGAGACCAAACTTCTAGACCAATATCAATCAGTATGCATCAATCGGGAATAGCCTAGAAAATTCTCACTAGCAATACAGACATAACTAGTCCGTTAATCCGTCATGCAGAAATCTATGCACTAAGATCTAACTTCCAGTCAACTAGCTCTTAACATTCATTAAAAATCTCGGTGGTTCTCATCAAAGAAAATCTAGGCAAGGCGATCTAGGCTAGGTGTCAAGAAGGATTATTTTGGGGGGTAAGGCTTAAAGTGTTTACGGGTTACCTGAAGATTTGGAGGATGCAGGATATTATGCAAAACCGCAAGAGAGAGTGAAGCTGTTGGTATCCACAATTTTCAGTCACTTTATTCTTGACATAGATTCATGGTCTTCTTCCTCAGGTTCTCTCCAAACTCCCCCAGACTTAGATTTTTGTAAATATTTCAAAACAATAGCTCCTTAAACGAATAGTGGTTGCTCATTGCTCCACAAATTTCGACAATCTAAGACTCATTAGGCTTTTTCTTTCCCTTTCTCTTTTCACGTTTTTTTTTTTTTTTTTTTTTTTTTTTTTTTTTTTTAGAGAAAGAGAACACCTTTAGATATAGAGTCTTAAAGAGCACGAATTTACCAGTTAATATCTGTCTTGTAAAGCTTTATTATGTTTCTGATACTCTTCCTTCCCAATTCCATTCAGTCTCCTTTGTGAGTGACTGAAAACTGCGTCGCTCCTCTTCTCTCCGACGTTTTTGCACATATCTGCTGATATAAACAAAAGAGAGAATGCATGAGGATTGAAAACAAGGGTTTTGGGTTTAGGGTATGGTACCAGATAAAGATAAACTGGTCATCTAGGACGACAAATAGTGGTAAAAGTGATGGTAAAAGACGTCCTAGATGTGTATGTCAATGCCTGCCTAAAATCAATGATGAGAAAATTAGATATCAATATTAAGTCCAAATAAAATGAGCTAGTATATCCTGTCAGAAAGAATCTCCATGAATAGAAGTCCTCTGGTGGGAGTTCGTAGTGCAAGTACTCTAGCTACCGCCTAGTCTAGTGCTAACCACAAATGAGCTATCATGCATAGTGTAGAAGTGTGCAGGTCTAAATCATCATAGTTTTGCGTC